GCTCAAATGTGCTGTTCTGTTATTCAGAGTGCACCCCCCCCAAAAAAAAGAGGAGCTAAATGCAGGCAGTACAAGGAAAGTAAACTGTTGGGTTCAGAAATTAATGGAAGAAGAGCGTGCTCTGCCTCTGACACACAAGGCGGATGGAACGTAGGGATGCATGATTTTTTTTTCTTGATACCGATAAACAATATTTTGAAATGATAAATGATATATTTATTGCAATATATATATATATTGCCCGAAGATGGCTGGGGTAGGTTCCAGCATGCAGGTGACCCTCGTGAGGATAAGAAGCAGATCAGATAATGATTGATTGATTGATTGATTGATTGATTGATTGATTGATTGATTGATTGATTGATTGATTGATTGATTGATTGATTAACTGACATGACTGCCATCTGGTAGTCGTTGGTGAATGTAAAATGTAGAACCGGTCGAACCGTGCATATTAATTTCAAAATATTGTACGGATTTTTTTGGTTTGTTTGTTTGTTTTTTCCCCCATTTTCCACTCAGCCGGTTGCCATCCCTGAGAAAGATGGAGGTGAACTTCGACTTCGAAATAAAGTTGTCATCTGCTTTCGTTGGTGGACCTCAGCAGTTACTGTGTGTTTGATTTTCAATCATTCTGAGTAATATTATGCGCAGGCACAGAATCTCTTGACTCCCAGTTATAAGTTAGTTCCTTATTTTACATGAAGTTTCTGATTTAACTTATCAGCTTAATAAGTTTGAACTTGAAAATAACATTGACACAGGTTGTTATTAAGGAGAAAGAGGGTGTGAATTAGTGTCTCCATCTGAACTTTGTTGAAATACTTGACCTTGCCTGAATGAGCTTTTTTTTCAAGCTGATTAACTCTTGCGAAGAAGCTATTAGAATAATAGCATCTCTTTCGTTTCATTTTGACGCTACAATTGAAGATCATCTGAGAGAAGACTTGACTTCTAAAGTAGCTCCTAGAAAATGAGTTTCTTCCCATTGAATATATCAACGTGTTACCACCCAGAGTTTGTCTGGAGATAAACGAGGCAGTAACAACTTGAAATACATTTGAATGTGGATTTTTTTTTTGTTCAAGGGGGATTTGGCATGTTTTAACAATACAAGGAGCTACACTCCTGATTATATAAATAAAGATGTATTGAATTGTATTCCCTTAAGCGTAGCTCCATCTCCTGTATGCATAATGCAACTCCAACCACTATTGTAGCTTCTATTGTGTATATGTATATGTGCCTTATAATACGGTGCGCCCTATACATGAAAACAATTTTAAAATAAGCTACGCATTAAAGGTGCGCTTTATACTCCGAAGCACCTTACAGTGTGGAAAATAGGGTCCATAGATTTTGCTCCGACCTCAGCGATTCAAGGAGACCTGGGCTGGGTGAAATGTTACATTTATGTAACCGATTGGTTACAATTGCAGAAGGGTGGAATCAATTGGAAAGTATGAAAGTGGAGCCTAGTACATGAGTCTCCCTGGTCAAAAAAAAAACAATTTTTGTCAAAGTTGATCCAGTAATAACCTGTGTTGTGACATTTCTGTTGAAAACAAGCATCATCTTTCATTTGAGTAAACCTGATATCAAGATGTTTTGTTAAAATCCAAATTGAGAATGTATTTGTAGATCAAGTAGAGGTTTACACCTAAACAAAATGTTTTATCTCAGTTATCTCAAAGTCAAAGATCCTTGGTTGCTCAGTTGAGGTCTGGCTTTCTCCCTCCGGCCATTGAAACCAGTCGATTTTGTAATATTCCTGAAGATAATAAGTGATGTGAAATGTGTAGTTTGAATGATGTGGACGAGTGGATTTCTTTTCATTTTCTTTTATATTGTACACTTTGATGACCGAAGAGCGGGGATGTTTTATGACAGTGAACGACGTAACCCTGATCTGTTCTATTGGCCAGATGAGGAAAGATTAAATGGCCTTTTGATTTTGATGTACCACTGCACATGTTATAGCTACAGCTTGGAAATGAAAAAAAGTATGCTGATGTTTTTATATTAATTTCTGTTGCTACTGTTGTTGTTCTCGGTCCTGGTGCCGGGTCATCCTGATTTTTCGGTGGTTTATAAGCCCATGTGGGCTGGACATGCATACTACCGTATGCATGACACAATAATTTTTAAAAAAATGTCAGAGATCTCTCTCTCTCTCTCTATACATACATATATATATATATATAAATATACATATATATATATATATATAATGTCAGTTGCTTCTTTCTTGTTTTTCTGATTCCTGCTGAGCCCATCTAAATTCTGCTGTCATCCAAAAAAAAAAACAGCAGGGGAGTGTGAGTTTTGATTTGCCTTCTTTTTGTTTTGGTTTTTTTTTGGGGCGGGAGGGGGGTTGTTTATTTTTTTGCGAAAATTGTCTTCGAAATGTAAATTTTACATGATGGAATAGTTGGCACTAATAAATGTGAACCGAAATGCTTTACATTTACACAATGAAGGTTTTTTTGGGTTGATCATCAGCATTAATTTTTAAGGGTATTCATTGATTTTTTTTTTTTTTTTTTTTAGGATTAAGTATTTTACAACATGACTTAAGTCATATGGGAGGGGGGGACCCAACGCCTTGACCATTAGGGTTTTTTTTTGCACTGCCTACATTAATGTGTATATGCGGACAAAATCTTTGACTTCCTGGAAGCAGAAACTATCAGACATTCAAATAGAAGCATATACAGCCACAGGTAGAGTTTGAACAGATGTGCTTCTTGACACATGCTGTATTTACATGCGTGTTCAAGTGTGTATGCAGATGTCTTTGCATTCCTCTCCTAATGAGATTTTGCAGGCTGGGGACATCTGAGATCCTTCTGGAGGCTGCCAGGATTATCGTAGCGAATAGAGATGTGAAATTGTCTGAGAAGCCGTGCTGAGCGTGTACACGCACACACACACAAGAAGCAGTCACAAACCCACCTTTGAAAATGACATGAGCTAAGTGATGCAGGCAGCAAGAAGACACAAACAGTGGTTGGCAAGCTTTTATGCACAAGAATCATGTTGAATGTCTTAACCTGTCACTTCTTAAGGCTCTCCGAGCAGAAAACAGTGAAAACCTACTTACACTGTGGCTCATCACCACAAACAGAACTGCCTGAGATTATTGGCGCAATGCAAAGTTAGATGGCTCATGTCACAAACAGGGCTGTCCATAAAGAACTAGTGTGGACTCTACACCACTTACATACTTGCCTGTAATTTGGGAATGAACACTATGTACTGTACAATGAATGGATAAAAATGTTGCATGAAAGTACACATTATAACCATTTTTGTTTTTGAAGGACAGTTCATAAAAGCACTATTTTACAGGGGTGTCTTTAAAACAAATTACTTACTGAATCCGTAGTGTCAAAATTTTCAGCGCTGATGAATGCTGACAGCACACGAGTGTGTCATGGCAACCTCGTTGGGAATCACCCATGTGTTATATTGAAGTCGACACCATTCATATTACAATGATAAATGTAGCCATTTGACTTGCACATACGAATCTTCCTTCCTCATGAATCGTTCCCAGAAATATCGTAAAAACGTATTCAAAACACCGCATTGAGAATCAAAGATTAATGTCAACGAAATGTCAACGAAATACAATGAAGCACTGCGACTGTCTTTTTTTTAATAAACGAAAAGAGCAATTACCCCTTTCAGCTTGCCAGTGGCATTCGTCTAGAATTTCTGAATCTTACATTACAAAGATCTGATCATGAACAAGCTTGACTAGTTCGGTTTGTATGCCTGTGCTTCATGTCCCGAAGCTAATTTCTTTCAATGGAAAAGTGGCGGCATCACCTTGTTTCCATTCTACTCGTGAGATCTCACAGTGGTACCTCTACTTACAAAATTAATTGGCTCTGGAAGAAATTTCTTAACTAGAAATTTTTGTAAGTAGAGACGCTTTTTTCATTTAAATGCCCTAATTCGTTCCAAGTCCTTCCAAAATTCAGACATAAATGTTTCTTAAAGCATAAAAATGCATCATAATATGTAACAAATACATGTTACAATTACATTATTGCACAATATATGAGAGTTGTGCATAATGTACAAAACAACAAATAGAATAAAGAATAAAAATTATGGTAATTTAACTTTTAACTTGGTCCTCATCATTTTTTGCCATCTTTAGTCCATGTTCTCGCTCAGAAGTGGTTTTTGCCTGGCATTTTGTCAAAAACTGATCCAAGGAAGTTTGCTTTTGTCAACTTTTAACAATCCTTCGAAAATGTCCAAGGCAAGTGAGTGATCGCCCAACTGGTGAACACTTTTTCTGGGTTTTTCACATTTACACCTCATGGCACCGGCATCACCTTGTTTCCATTCTACCCATGAGATCTCTGTAGCCCAATAAATTGTGTAGCATCACTTTTAAAGAGGATCTCTAGTTAAGGAAATGATTACCTCAGAGTATTTGCCTGATTGACAGACAATTGGAATACTTGTTTTAAACACCGCAATATAAAACTCATATTCAATGGTTGTTCGGTGTCAGACCTTTCACCAGAACAGCAAGTGAACATACACTCACCATTGTCATGGTATAGAAATTTCCTCAAATGGTGTCAATATTATGCTTTGTGTTTTACAACAGTAACATCTACTTGCTCTGTTAAGAAATTCATATCTTAAAGTGATGTGATATTCTGCATTTCTTTTTGCCCGGGATGCATTCTGTGGGCAATTTACAAAGTATTATATTATGTCAAATTGTATTTCATGTCATGTTAGTTGTTATTTGAATTCAATAACTACTTTTAACATTCAATACCCATATTCTACTACCATTTTTGGATACTGACAAAAATTACGACCGTATTTTCCGCACTATAAGGCGCACCTAAAAGCATTCAATTTTCCCAAAAGCTGACAGTGCGTCGTATAAGTGCACCTTCTATATGGTATTCCAGTCTCCTTATATTCGCCATTGAGTTGTTTCCCTGTTAGTGTTCTCTTATTCCATCTAGTGGTGATCATGAGCACGAACCAATTGTAATGTAAAAGTGTCCTGCCCGACACTAATTGACATGTGCGTTCCCCAACACACACGCAAACAGACAACTACTTTGTGAGCTCTGCAGACCCATTATGAAACAAAGATAAATGAAAATAAATGAAGAAGATGAATGAAGATAAAATAGGCCATTCATTGAAGGTGCGCTTTTTAATCCGAAAGCACCTTATAGTGCGGACAATGCAGTACATTGCCAGAAAAAAAAAATCCTTTCCTATGAGAAAAGACCATTCAAATAAAACTGGTGCTAGCTAGTGGCTGCAACAACAATATTTACGAGCTTGTAATTGCTTGTTAATCTATCAACAAATAAATAATGTTCATAGCAGCTGCTGCTGTTTCCGTATAACAGATGCTGATTGCTTTTGTAGTGAAACCTCATCATGTCTGTTCCTGACGCAGCAGGTTCTTTAATCTGTACCAGCAAGATTTAAATTCTTCACTACCACTCTTTTTTTTTTTCCTCGCTCTGATTTTTTTTTTTTCGTCTGTCTTTGTGATTGTTATTTCAAAAGAGAAGACCTTGTTTTGGAAGTGTGGGCTGTTTTAGCATCAAACTGCTTTTTGGGTGGTCGGTCAGGAAGTACTGACGGTAAGAAACAGATAAGAGGTTTTAAAAAAATATTGGTGTGTTATATAGCTTGTCAGTCAGAGAGCAAGAGCAAATATCCAGACACAGTGCTGCTATTTATGCAACTGGGGATGCTTGGAGGGTAACTCGCAGTGAATATGGGAGATGAAGGGGTTTGAAATGCAATCAGAGGACGAGCAAAAGTGGTTAGCTGTTAATCATTCACCTGCTCTCTTCTAAACTGATGGAATGCACTGTAATAAACTGCCTCTCTATAAAAAGTTGTTGTTTTTTTTTCCAAAGACCACTATTCATATTAATAGTTACCTTGTGAAATGAATCATTGGCCGGTAAACAAGAAAAGAAGTCATACGTTATGGATCAAATCCCTTTGGCAGCTCTAATACCGAAGACCTTTGAGTTGCACCCAATCAAAATGAGAGGCTAAATAAAGCTGTGCCTCGCTTCTTTTGCTCACCTCACTAGGTTTTGACGATGGTGGTGATAGGGAAGGTATTTCATGCCAGGGTGGAAAGAGATGAATTACGCAGCAACCCACAGTCGGTAATTTTTAGAAAATATATTACTGCACAAGCACAGATTACGTAGGTGCACAGCAGCTGAGGTGCCCACGGGCAATTGTAAGCACAACGGGAAATAGTATAGTTGGCGTCCAGAGCAGTAAAAATATATTCGAGTTTATTTCATGACATCTTTACTTTTTATAATAGCCACATCAAAAAAGAAGCACCTCAAACTAAAAACAAACATCAGGTAGGATGATAAATGTCACTCATGTTGATGTGTGCACAACAATAAAAAGCAGTTCCTATATTCTTTCTTAAACAACTACAATATAAATTCTCACTTTTTTCTTGTGGCATAATACTGTATATGCATTTGATTAATCAGGCGTTTCATGTTCTTGCAATTCCATCCCATAAAGTATTTATTCCTTTTGTTTTAGGTTCTCTAATTGTCAGGATTCTTTCTTAATATAGCTTGAACTACTATGTCAACAAAACGATCGAAAAGTTAAAAACCAGAATGCATCCTTTCGATTTAGCTGCTGATGTGTTGTTTCTTTGAATTTTAATGAACTTGAATAGCATGAGTTATCGAGACTTTCTACATGTTGCTAATAAACAGACAAGAGCTAAAAATACAGTCATATCAGTGTCTACTTTCAACAAGAAACAGTTTGAATGGGATTTTTATTTATTTACTTTTATTAATTTTTAAGTAAAAGTGCATTGAATCAAACCGAATCGTCCGAGATACGTACTGAATCATGTTTTGTTGCAGGGAAATATCTTGGAAGGAATTGGCACATTTACCGTACTTTTACATTCAAACCTATGTAAAATGGCAACAAAAAAGTCCTTCCATCATACACTCTCGAACTGAGCGGATCATATTCAATCCAGTCCAACTGAATCGTATCATTCCACTTTCAAATCGAACCATCCTTGAATCGCTTCGCGCCCCAGGTATCAAAAATATGTATCGGATCATATTTTGTGGGGCGTTGCACAACCCTAATACACACCGAAAGTAAACATTGCCATATCTGTGTACTTTCAGACGCCAACACGTGTGACAACATGCCAGAGTTGAGCATAACGAATCCAATACTTGTTAGCCAGCGACATTGTTTTCAACTCAGCAGGGAGGACCAAGTGAGTATTAAACTTCCTTTGTTAGCATTGCACACCCGTTCCACGCAGGCAGTGCTTCGCCTCTGCCGTTACTTCCAAGGTTAGAAGAGTCCCATCGAAAGCTTTTATGGAAGTTTGCAGTGGCTGTTACAGTCATTCATCATTGAAAGATACAGTCAAGACTGTATAAAAACACAACTGAATTTGAAAAATTGGCCAGAATATGCTAGCTGCATTCCATCACCGTGCGTTTCACTGAGTGGTAGAGATTTGTCACTGAAGTAAATATGTACGACAACATTTGCATATTAAGTGATTTATCACAGATGAATCGCTGTGAGGTTAAAAAAAAAAAATCCCTATTATTAATTTCCTTTTCTCAGTCCATTTACATAATGTTTCTACTTTCATGTTTCCGATTTTAGTCGTACAATCATTTTATTTCCCCCTCAACTGTTTTGACTCACAAAATCTTATCCAAAATACATGACTGAAATTAATTTAGTATATTGTTACTTTGCTTTTATCGCTTTGTTTTGGCCTAAAGTACATTTTTGTGATTATCCGACAGCAGCTACACACAAAATCACCAGATTAAACATTTATGTTACAGCTGGAGCTGTTGTGAAAGCGCTATATAAATCAGGATGTATTATATTGTATTGTATTAAACATTACCAACAGAAAATAGGACCAACCGTAGCTACAACACCAGTCAAATTAATTTGAGAGCTCAAAAACGTCTAAAACTGAACAGTGTGTCATTTTAAACAACCTAGAATAGTTCAAATCACAGTACTTAGTTGTGACGTCCATCGAGCCATCCATTTCCAATGCCGCTTATCCTGAACAGGGTCACGGGGAGTTGCTGGAGCCTGTGCCAGCTGCATTTGAGCAGAAGGCAGACTACACCCTGAATTGGTCGCCAGTCAGTCACAGGGCACACAGAGAGACAAAAAAATGTTTACGCCCACATCCACCCCATCACTGAGTGGGAACCGATCCCACACCGCCCGCACACAAGTCAGGTGAGTGTACTACGATACCTCAGTTGTAACGTAATATTAAAAAAAAACACTTAAACCAGGATATGTGGCACATTTCTTATTACTATTATCATCCCCAGCCCTCATTTTTGCTGCATTTAATCATAGGTCACTGATTATGTTGTTAGGTACGAGTTAGCTGACATTTTTGGTCTAAGTGCCAACCACTGTCCTCTTTCAATTAGATTGAGAGATTGTGTCATGTGCATGTGACGATATTAAAGCCAAGGTGCTACTGAACCGCTCACAGGCTGACCAATTTTGTGAGTGCTGAGAGTGCTGAGGCACCCCTAAAATGACACCCCCCAACCATAAACTTCAGATGCAAGAGCTCCCCCCGAGTAACAAGTGTCCATGATCAAATGATTTGTGGGCGATAAATGAATTGGCTGCAAGACATCCTACTAGGACACTCTGTAAGTTCCCCCCCCCACCCCCCCGCAAGCACATTTTAGAAAGGGTAGGAGAGTAACATTTATGTCTTTTTTTTACTTATTGTATACTGTATTGGCATATACAGATTTTCATGTGTTCAACGCTTTGATATTGCAAAGCTAAACGTTTGATGCATGCCCTTGCTGTGGTAGTAAAAACTCAAACTTGTTTTTCAAATGTCATTTTACATTCACTATATATACTGAAAAGAGACTAAAGTAAAAACACTGCCCCCTCCCCCCCCCCGGGCTCTGGTTCTCCCTTCATTCAACCAGGTCAACCATTTATGAAAGGGAATCCAAGCTGAAACCATGTGCCATTCTTGGATTACCCTTGACATTTGATGGCATTTATTTCTCATTACCAAGTCAAGTCACTAAAACGTGTGCGCGGCCTGCTTTAATAACCTGAAAATATACAGTAGTGTTGGGTCCACTTAAATTAGTGGTCAGACGTGTCAGCAATCAGCTGGTTATATATATACAGGAGATGAGTTTTGTGAGGTGTCATTTTCTTCAGCTAATTATAGTGCAAAAACTGTATTTTTTTAATGAGGGGTTATTTTAATGGCCATTAGTATTCAAAAAGGTCATGTTTATTCTTTACACCCTGACATCATTTCTAGGAAATGACCCTAGTGCTTTTGATAATTGTAAAAGAAGACAAAGGAACACATCAGACCACAACAATAAGACGAAGTGGAGTGATACCCAGTGTAAGTCATACAAAAAAGCGGTAATTAAAAATAATACCGCATTGTTTTATTTTATTTGTAGTCATGGGTTCGAGCTTAAAACAAGGCCGTGCGTCTTCTGCTATTAAACATGCTGGAGGGTGACATTATGGAGTATTTTTGACTTTGATTCGGTTGCTATGTGCATTTGTATCAATCATTTGTGAAATGACATGAGTGCTGCGGAATTCCTGGTATCTTTAAGACCACATTTGTGGGTTCAAAACCTGTGATCATGACAAGTTACATGATGGAGGGAATGTCATCACAAAAGTCGAACCACCTATATATCAAAATAGAGCATATCATTGAATCCAGAAGTTTGACGTGAAAAAAAAGCGCGAGTGAGGAAGAATTGAACATGGCTATAACTGTACCTCCACAGCCATCGAGGTGTGAGTGAGCACAATGCTTACCTCAGTTGTTTGTTTCTTGGCAAGTAATGATACACGATATGCATTGTTCTTACCAGCATGAAAGCTGCACTGTGACTGTCAATGAACATCAGGAACGATGTCCCTGAGGTCACATCTCAGGTCCAATTGCGCGGATGAACCAGAATCAGGAGCCCTGAGGCACATTGCCCTTTATTTGTTCATCGGTTATGCCAACAGAATTCTTCTCTTCAAGCCACCATAAACTGTCCTCCTTTGCTTTCAATTTATTCAAGTAGTCATCAAAATATGTTGCCAAGCAAACCTAACCTACTGCCAAACAAACAAATGGACATTTTTTTTCTTTTTTTTCAGCTGATGGCATACGATAAATTCATCACCAGTAAACTCTTCACCAGGTAAAGAAAAGCCTGCAGCCCAACTGGAAGGCATATTAGCAAATTCAGAAATGAGATTTTCCTGTAATTGTGGAAGAAATGGATGGCTTTGAATTCATATATTTAGACGCTGCTGCATTCGACAGTATCACTCGGACCAATTACAACACCAAATTGCTCTTTTCTGTCTTGCATTTAACATGTAGTCAAGTAGCTCCTTGCTTGATGCCCCCATTCTTCCCTTTCAACCCTTTCCAGCCACATTAGGCCTGTGGCCATCTCTTCCTTCCTCACCTCCCATCCCTCGATAGCAGTGTAACATTTTACCATGTCCATCAATTTTACATGATCACTCTACACCAATCTCTCACACACACACACAATCCCAGCATGTGCACTGTGGCCACACCCTCCTCCCCTCCTCATTAAAGTTCTATGTTAAATAAATGTTTCAAGAAGAATTTTTTTTTAACAGGGGGCATACCATAACTCACAGGCATACAAATCCAGAGACCACTCTAATAAATATGGCTACAGCATGACCCACCGCAAGATATGAATAATTAAGAAGACAAGTGCAGGAAAATCAAAATTCGAAGGGAATTGGGTTGTGGAGGAAGACAAGATGGAGATCAGCTGTAGGAAAGAGTTACATAAAACACAACCTTGTCAGCTACTTTGTGTTATTTGCTCATCCAATTTCTTGCTCGACGTGTAGAGATATTGAACTTGGAGTGGACTTTGGCTTTCGTGTCATTTATGATTCACATTGGTATTATTTCAAAAAGTTATAGTCTAGAGCAGGGGTCCCCAACCACCGGTCCGCAGACCGGTACCAGGCCACGGCCCATTTGGGACCACGCCACACAGAGACAGAACTGCGAGCTGACAGAACTCCATCAGACATGGCGGAAATGTGCGTGACTTTAGCCAATCGTAGTCGTCTTCTAACATTGGTTTGCAAGAATCCGCCAGTAAATGAAAGAAGAAGCAGAACACAGAAAGTAACAGGAACAAATTGACTAAACGTACAACGAAACGCGCAGCTGATGGGCAGCCATGACTTCCGAAGATGAAAATATTTTGACAAGAGACTTTCCTCCCCTAGCGGTATCTGCAATGCGACATGGAGGAGGAAGCTGTTGTGCATGCTATGTCCACAAAAACAAGGCAATAGGAGAAATCTGTTGAATCATTTGAACAAGTAACACCCAAGCGGAAAGCATAAAAATGCGAGCAGAGTTTACACAGCCTGCCCACGGAAACACTAGCGATTTAGTCGCTAATAACTAGCCGGCAGCCACTGGATGAAAGCAACAATCAATCATGTCCCATTTGCAAGTAGCAATGATGCTAACGCTGTATGTAGTATCAGCACTATTAATTTGTTTACATTAAAAGGCGTATTTAATCATCCTCGTTGGTCCATTTTTTTGCAGTTCACTGTGTTATTTTATGTTATTCTACATTTGTTGTACAGTAGAGTAACAATATTTGAAATCAATGACAAAAATCTATGTGAATAAAATGTTTAATTTACTCTATAATAATCTTTGTTGTCAGTACAAGTGCTTTAAAATTCGCAATATCAAAGTTTTTTTTTTTTTTTTTTTTTTTAAATGGTTGCCACGAATAGCATGTACTTGTCTCAACTGGTCTGTGAGAACAGAAAAAAAATCGACACCAGGATGAGACCATAGGCTGCGGCCACAGGTCACCAGCAAGAAGCTCACAAAGCAGCGGTGCAGCAAAAACCTGCACACGTGGTGAGCGAGGAGGACCATGCATACTTGCCCACTGGGGGTTGTGGCAAAATAGGGACATTTTTTTCATTGGCCTATCAGCCAATTTTTTTCAGGACCAGATTTCCAAGTTTCTCGCCTTGTATTTACCGCATGAAGGAAAATTATGTGTACAGGGCTGTTTCTCGGATATTCAATAAATCTGTTCACCACTAAGGTCATTGGATGAATGAGCAGTTTTACGTTGTGAAATGAGTACCAGATAAGGCTAAATAATGAGGTTACACTCCAGTGCATTTAGTCTGCAGTATTTATTGTCACATCAAAGTGAGCGCCACTGACTGTTCCACTCGCTCACTGAAAAAGAATAAATAAGAGAAGACAATATTTTACATGATTATAAATATTAATCGTACCCCACAAATAAGCTTCATAAACCGTTACTATGGGCAAAGTCATGAGAAAGGAAAACAAAGCATTAAACACATTTTAAAAAAACGTTTTTCCTTTGCCTTTCTTCAAAAATACTGCTATGTGAAAAAAGCATTAGAATAACTAATTACGTTTCTTGCCTTTGATAATCTGGGACGTCTTTATTCTCCCAGCAGGGAATGCTTTGCTTTGACTGAATCTGGAAACATTCAACGCTTTTGTTGAAATAACCACTGAAGGCCATTGGCGTTTTTTTTTTGTTTGTTTTTTTTTAAGCAATAAGCATGGCCATTTTGAAATCTGCCCTTGTACCTACATCAGCCCGTGTTATTCCTCGAATGAAAAATTAATCAATTTTTGGCGTTCCCTGCTGTCCTCCAATACTTGCTTTGTGTTAACAGTGATAGCAAGTCATTTTTTTCTGCCGTGCTTCACACTGAAACCAGCGTAGCAAGCCTTGCAAAATGCATGGTGACAACCACACAAGCTGCCTTTGACCCATGCAAGTGTCTCTGTCCACGCGCGATTGAATTTTGAAGCATATATTCTCGATTTTTCTTCTTTTCAGAGGAGTGTCAACAAGTGTCTGGTCATCTCTTTCACTATCCCTCTCTGCCATGTATGAACGAGCATGAATGCTGCGGGCTGCAGTCAAGTCAAAAAGTCTCGTCAAATTTTATTGATATTGCTCTTAATCACAAAAAGGTCACATTAATCACATGCCCACATTTGACAGATATTAACGACAACCCCTGTACTTAAGCCCCAGGAGGGCAAGTAAAAACTCAAAACACCCCATATGGGGAGAAATGAGAAACCATGAGAAGGGGCTGCAGATGGGGAATCCTTCTTCCAGGACGACCAGGCTCAATGGATGCCGAGTGGGCAACCGTTAACACAATATTGTGCTCTACAGTGTTAGTATAAACTAAAAGTCCATTCAGCATGATGAAAAGTTGGACCAATAACCCTTCGGATAGTTGGGTTCTCCATCTGAAGCCAGCCCGGTTGGTCAATGAAGAAATCTTCAGAACAACTCAGTCTCCTCCCCTCCAGCCTCCAACTGCTTTCAGGTCGAATCATGAATGTATTATGGCTAGAGTCAATGCTTCCTCTTGCAAGAGTCTCGTAAATGGCCGCTTATCATGCAAGCAGGCCAGGGTGGCCAGATACTGGTGTCAAATGTGTGACTTCAAAAGAAAGCCTGACGCTTACATTTTAGACAATGTCATTTTGGAGGTAATTAACATCACTCAAGCTTTGTTAATTGCATAAAAAGCCCACTGCATTTCTCAGGGGAAAAGGTATGCACGGCAAGCTTAAGATGTACAATGCTAAATCCGCAGGAAATCGCACCCTGCTGAAATAATTTATATTGACAGCTACTTGGGTTTGCCAAATGTGCTTCTCATTGAAACAGTCATTCCCAATTAACTGTGCTTTGTGTCGATTTTGCTCATGAGTAGGCACTGCTAACATCATGCGATCCAGGTGGATTCCCTGTGCTGCCTTTTAAGTTTTCTGTCACACTGAGTGAGATGAAGCAAATGGAAAAGTGGATCAGACAAAGGTTATGATTCTTGCTTTTTGCATCAAAGGACATGAAAGAGGGCAGGAGCAGATAAAAAAAGTAATGGTCAAGTCAAAAAGAAGTGTCCTGAGAGTGGGAATGAAAACACACACACACACACACACACACACACACACACACACACACACACACACACACACACACACACATCCCCCCCTCCCCACACGCGAAATTTAAGGGTTTACTTTCATTGCTACATGTTACATCAATCTGTGCTAACCAGGGTGGAACTAAGCCAAAGTCCACAAACACACATGCATGTTTTTTTTTTATGTCAGTCATTTTCACACACCTCACAGGAAAATACATTTGCAGCCAGTCAAGCAGTATTTTAGAAATACCAGAAAATAATTTGAGGAAGTTTCTATGTATAAATGTACAAAAGTAACCTAATATGATCATTTTTACACATCTATCCATCAGCAATCTATACTGTTTGACCTCACTAGATTATCCCACCTTGTCCTTTACCAGCCGATATTGGGCGAAAGTGGGGATACATCCTGAGCTGGTAGCCAGATTGCCGCATCTCTTTCGATCAGATTTTAGAATTCACCCAATATGCTTGGTTTTGGAATGTGGGAGGAAAACAAATGAAAACTACCCACTGGAGGGTCTGAGATTTTGAACCCACAGCTTCTTGACTGTGACCCAGACATAAATAACCACAAATCCGCCGTGCTGCCCAAATAAAGAAACATTTTCATTTAAACTCCATCGAAAACCTCAGCTTTACAGATGTCATGGCTCCCCCGTCACCTCCAGAAACAACAAACCTTGGCTCACATGTACACAATAAAATAACCAAATAAAAAAATACAGAAACATTTTAACCTGTGAGCCTAAAGCTGCACATTTATACGCACCCTGCATGTCTTCGCTCATCAGGTGAAGGTTGAAAGCATAACCAATTTCCGTGAAGAGGGAAAACAACTTAGCTCATCCGTGCTCAGCAAAGGCACGCTTCCCCTCTCCGGACGGCAGTGCTGCAAAACAATTAAAGTTTGATTATGTTAGCTCAAAGCTCAGTTGTCTGCAGTGAATTCAGATGGGAGCGCTGAGGACAGCCAGCCTCGTGACAAAGGTTTTACAAGGAGATAGATTAGGATGTTATTAAGTGACATATTTACAATATGTCCAAAGTAATACAAATGCAGCGCTTGCTAACTGACAAAAAAAAGCGTGCTATTTGGTTGCATGAACTCGCTCCATTAAAGCATCCCTCACGTTTATGTAAAGGAGTTGTCTGAGATACTATTGTATCAGCTCAGCAGAAGAAAAACACATTTGAAACAATAGACAGCTAAGGGAAACATAAACCTCATATTTTGACAAGTTCTGGCGGCGTGAAAATGAAGCCAATCATCTTGACTTCGGCGTTTATCACCGTAATGAAGTGCAGAAAGAAAACAAATAGCCAGTTTAAGAAACTCAAAGTCTGTTTGTGTATTTTTGTCTTGCTAGCTGACTAGAACTTTGTTTTTGTTCCCGAGCTCTCACTGTGCACATAGAACTGTTTTCAAGCAAAAAGCTTTGAAATCTCTTCTTCAAACAATTTGCTCTCTTCCAAAGAGTCACAGTGTGTTCGCAAATTTAAATACAGTATTGCATTACAGAGCAAATTCATCTTTGTTCCCCCCAAAACAAGACCATAACTACTCAGTGATGCCTCTACTGATGGAAAACACAACGTTGGAATCAAACTAAGATAAATTAAGAAATATGATCTCGTAAAGGAAATATTCACAAATCTATGTGTGTGGAAAGTTCTTTGATCAACCATTGCAGATATATAGCGCACTCCATTTACCATTTTAATCTATTTGTATTTTTCATCTGTTGGACTATGAATTTATAATTGACGATTGACGGCCTGGTGATGCGGTTAAAATAGTATGACGGACTGACAGACTATTTCAGTTTGGTTCGGCTTGAAATTATGACGGACCGACCATGACGGATGAGTGCTCAAGCCATTGACTAATGACGGACCGGCAAAATTTTGTAATGTAATTTCTGCAATGATTCAGATGGTTCGATGCAAATTGTCATATGTCAAATGAAATGCGCATGTCAAAGGAGATGCTTTGATTACATCAGAATGCCCAGCTTGGAACAGAAAGATGAGCCAAATTCTCAAATAAGTTCATCAAGTCTTGCGTCGGCACAATAATAAGGAAATGCCAGTTTTTACACTCAAGCGCAGTTGTCCGGTTTACTAGCCCATTGAGTCATTAACGGGATCAGTCTGCAAGTGTTCCACTTGGGTTTTCAGAGTAATTCCGTAATTCTCTTCATTAATGATTTGGTTTTCCATTGTTGAGTTGTTTTGCTCTCAATGAATTATTGTACAATGTCATCAGTAATTATTGAGGCCATCATTTATCAGTCATTAAGCTCTGGGATACATCATTCCCTTTTTTTGTCAGTATATTTCCAATAGGCAATCCTTTGCATCATTTTGGAAGACTCTTCAGGTTGAATATTTGTTAATGTCTCAAACAAGATTCCTTCTGATCTGTCAAGGTGATTTCAAAATTGGAGCCACAAGTAGGAGTCACACATAATGGGATTTATCCTTGCTTATTACTGGAAGCACTGAAGTGGTGGCACAATTGGATTTCCAAGAAACGCAGGCCATCAGCCGGGATGTATTTCATGGAGTGAATGAGAGGAGGGACAACAGGGCCTCAGATGGTTCATCATCCTGGCTACAATGCATGATATAGCGTGACATGCAGCACTGGCTAACACACAAGTGCATGTTTTCGATGCCTGGCCAGAATAAGATATCCTTTATTTGTCCCACACTGGGGAAATTTACAGTCTACAGCAGCAAAATTGGGGGGTAGAAAGAAGAAAAGAATTAGCTACATTAAAGGATTTGTGGTACTTGGGGCTGTGATGAGACAATGTAGATATAATATTATATATTTTAGAGATGTTGTTAGTTGATGAGACAGGAGTTGAAGATGCCTTGAGTCAATGGTTAACTCCACCAAAATAACAGCAGTGGATAATGGCTTGATCGGTATTTCGTCCCCCTCCCAAACCATTGCATTGGCAAGGTCAATTCCGTTGAGGTTTCTGATGAATAGAATACCAGCTTTTATTTCATAGTATTGACCTTACTGTACATCGATGTGCTGAACAACTCAGAAGAGAGCAACTTGCTTGAAATATTGGAACAGACTTTATTAAATTATAGTGAATATCATTTCATACAGTATCTGGTGTCATAACTCCGATTTCCAAGAACTGCATCAAGGCTGTGCCCCATTGACTACAGCAGACTGTTGCATTCTTTATTTGAAATGCTTTTACTGGCCTTCACTTTAGCCTCTTTCAGTTTGTTTGTTTTTTTTTGTTTTGTTTTGTTTTGGGGGGGGGCCCCTCCACCCCCTCATTAAGCCCGTTGTTGTGTTGGCAGTGTGTGTTATTACCTTGTTTCAGGATTCAGCTTCTCCCAATTAGCTTGGATGCATTTTTCTCTAAATTGCCCGACAAAATGGTTTTATAGACTTCACAATTCATTCTGCTCCCACCATCATGTGTTACATGATCAATAAAGCCGAGTGAGCCTGTTCCAGAAGCAGCCATGCAAGCGCAAGCCACGACATTACCTACACCACACTTCATAGTGAGCTTGTGTGATCCTTTCTTTCTCCATACTTTGGCCTTTCTATCACTTTGCTAAAGGTTAATCATCAGTCCATAAAAATTTGTTCCAGTCATGTGAGCCCGTTTAAATATGAGTTTTTAGATTTTGAAGGTGGGAAGAGTCCATATTGAGAATGTCAGGGGATGGCATTCCAGAGTGGTGGGTAGGGGGGCATAGTCAGATGAGAAAGTGGCACAATGAGGTGAGGAAGAGCGAGTGGGTGTGGAAATATGTAGGAAGGCAGAGATGCATGGAGGAGCAAAGTTATGGATGGCCTTAAAAGTGAGGAGCAGAATACTGTCTGTCAGTGGGTGAAACATACTTGGCCAATGAATGGCAGGTCGTACTTTTGAAACACCTTTCCTCTGCAACAGAAAACCCTTTCAGGCAGCCGTGTTTTTGTTTTTGTGCAGGGCGTAGGGGGTGTTAGCCCTTTGCTGCCCCCAAGCAATGCCACGCTGTGTGGCTGCATGTGAAGCCCATCCCAGAAATGGCCACTGGCCAACGAACATAATAGTCCTGTTTGGCAACAGTCGAGTCATTCTTGATACAGCTTTTCATTTTTCTTGGCCACATTCTTCAGAAACTACATATGCATTTCCCTGCTGTTCAGCACTGATGTTTCCTGCTAACAGCCTGATCCAAGTACAGAGATGCATCGGCTTGAAATGCATTAAAATGTCAAGAGTGGAATGCTCGTGCTGACATTGGTCAATTCGGGCCCAGGGTTCCATGGATGAGGCTGCGGGTGAGCAAGCGCAGCAAATTACAGACAGTCCTTCAAAGATGGATTTTGTTTTCAGGATGGGAATTCTTATTCCTCCATGAATCTCATCTTAAAGATGCAAATTTTAAGCCTAAATTAATAATCATAAAAATAATAATCCACCCATTTTCTAATCAGTTCATCCTCACAAGGGTCGTAGGGCATGCTGGAGTCTATCCCAGCTGTCTTCGGGCAGTAGGCGGGGGACACCCTGAACCGGTTGCCGGCCAATCGCAGGGCACACAGAGACGAACAAACATCCGCGCTCACACTCACACCTAGGGACAATTTAGAGTGTTCAATCAGCCTGCCATGCATGTTTTTGGAATATGGGAGGAAACCGGAGTACCCGGAGAAAACCCACGTAGGCCCTGGGAGAACATACAAACTCCACACAGGAAGGCTGGAGCCGGGATCGAACCCACGACCTTTGCACTGTGAGGTTGACGCGCTAACCACTGGACCACCCATAATCATAATAATAGTAATAATAATATGCACACATGTAAGAAGTCATTCTGTATTGGCAAAATGCCTAACGAAAGGGAACTTGTCTCCTGTCTCTTTCCAGCTTCCTTGCTCATCAGTCTCCAACAGATCATTTTACTTGCCCAAATGCCCACTCAACTTGGGATACACAGGCAGGTGGCCAGAATAAGAAGTCTTGATGTCAGCTGCTATGGCATTTATTATTAAAAAGTCCTTATGCCCACATTCTGTCATTCTGTCTCATTAAGTGAGTGTATGACTCAAGCTTAAAAAGTTGACACCTTGGTTATCCCGAACTAGAATCATTTCCCAAATGGCTTTCTTGTAAGTGCACTAAAAGTTGTGGTAGTATGCTTAAGTTGCTTAAAAAGCAGGGCAATAATCCCATATACATGGAAGCCGACAGGATTTAAACTTGTGCTTGCTCAGTGATAGTTTTTGAAAGGTAGAAGTGAACAATAGGGCATGCAATGTTCAGCATGCAGGCCGGACAAGCACGTCGCTTTGTGTGGTAATGGGATCGGTCAAGCTACTTTAGGCTGCTGAGTCCTGGAGGCTCAAAGACACGCTGCAGTTCAGCCCGTGCTCTACCACGGATACCTGTATGTTATCTCTGAATAATGTGGGAGTATAGTAATACAGTAATATAAATATCAACCAATCCAATGGGACATGCCTTGTTTCTACAACTCTTGCAGTGTCTTCAAAAGCTGGCGTTGATGATGTGCTTCTGAATGCTGGAGTGATCAAAACTTTATTCCTTTCCTTTGAGAAAATCCTTTCTCATAGTAATGAGAAGGCAGCTAGCCTCTGTAGGCTTGCATATATGCATCTCTGCCTCTCCCAGTACAGAAGGGGATCCTCAATTACATTTTTTAATTTAATTTCAAATGTGGTTGGAAATCCCATACTGACAAGGAGCACTGCACAAACGGAACAATGGAAGTCAAGAAACTTAACAACTATAGAAGTGCAGTGACACATTTCATTATACAGGGATATTATGTCCCTGTGTGAGTTCGGATCTTATTTTGGAGAGATCCATTAAAATGTTGCCGTCCAGGGGAAACCCTTCTTTTCAGGGTTTTTCTTTTTCCTGCTTACTTCATGAATAAACAATCCCTGTTAGAATTTGTGAATTCAGGGGTGATCGTGCTCCTGGTGTGCAATTGAGAATTTGACAGCAAAAGATTTATAAATAAATACTTCGGTTAAAAGCGTAAACTAGGTTTCTGTAGAATTTGTGACCCGAGGGGCCAATATTGTATGAGCTGTTTTTAACCCTGCGTGTCTGCACTCCGAGATGGAAAAATTGATTGTTTAATCGACTACAGAGGGCAAGACGTACACGTAATTTATTGATGCAGGCACGCCAGATTAATAAGAGCTCATACAATATCGCCCCAAGGATCACAAGTACTGAAGAAATCCAGTTTATGTTTTTTTTTTTCTCTTAAGCTGTCAACTCTCAAAAGCAATTAACCCTGTTCCACACTCACAATCACACCTGGGGTAATTTAGAGTAAACAATTAACCTAACATGCCTGCTGTTTGGAATTGTGTGGAAGGAAATCTGGGTACCCGGAGAAAACCCACGCAGGGACAGGAAGCACATGCAAACTTCACCCTGGAAGGCGGAATGGAACCCCGGACCTCTGCACAGTGAGGCCGATGTGCGAACTAGTCACCCACTGTGCAGGCTTTTTACAGATCATATTTATCATGTACTATCCATCCATCCGGGCGGCCCGGTAGTCCAGTGGTTAGCACGTCGACTTCACAGTGCGGAGGTACCGGGTTCGAATCCAGCTCCGGCCTCCCTGTGTGGAGTTTGCATGTTCTCCCCAGGCCTGCGTGGGTTTTCTCCGGGTACTCCGGTTTCCTCCCACATTCCAAAAACATGCATGGTAGGCTGATTGAACACTCTAAATTGTCCCTAGGTGTGAATGTGAGCGTGGATGGTTGTTCGTCTCTGTGTGCCCTGCGATTGGCTGGCAACCAATTCAGGGTGTCCCCCGCCTACTGCCCG